TCAAAATAAATAAAATGAAATAATTTCATATGAAAATAAATCATCCAATTCTCCTTCCTAATTAAACTATTTCTTCTTTTTTTGTTTAATTTATTTAACTAATTGTATATCTTGTGCACATTTTAATTGAATCAGTAGTATTTTAATTGTTATGGTAATCAGTTCTTCTTTTTTTTTGTTATTAGCATACACATCTGCTGCTCATTTTAATTCACATAGGATCTATCAAATATTGTAAGCCACTCCCATTCTAACATATATGTATTTATATTCATTTGTTAGAGATTACTTATGCAAAATCTTTACTGATTGACCTCTTCGACCATAATTCTTCTTGTCCGTTATACTCTCCAGTAAAATTTAATTGGTATTTCAGTGTTACTCTGCGCTACTGCTATCCGCACCAGAGCGAATTTCTCTAGGATGAACAGTTAGGGAAATCTCCCCTAAAGAAGACAGTTAACCTTTACCAAAGTTTCGACTGTGCCAAACCAGAGCCTTCCCAAACCCAAATGAATCAAATTCACTACATAATTTTTTGCCGCGAGCCAGAATATCTGCAATTGTAATTGAAGGTGCAACCAGCAAAAAAATAGAGGCTCTTCTCGAAGAAGTCAAAGTAATAGGTTTGAGCTGTTGGATTAAATGATGGTCAGAAAAGAAATTCATGAACAGCACGAGGATAGAAAAGAAACTATTAAAGAAAAAGTAATACCTCTCGAACTGTATACTCGAAATTATTAATGCAAAATACTTTGGTATTTCAAGCCTTCAATAATTTTTGGTAACATATAGTGAATTTTAATTGAGTTTGAGAGAGCTCTGATTTGATACAGTCAAAACTGTGGTGATGATTGATTTCTTCTTTTGAGAGGTTTTCCTGTTCGTTAATTCTAAACAGATTCACCTTTCTGTGAGTAGCGGTAGCGCAGAGTAACCGAAATACTTCGAGTTAAATTTTATTGAAAGTATAACAGAGCAACAAGTAATTGTGATCGAGCGGTAAAGATTTGCATAAGTAATCTCTAACAAATAAATATAAATACATATATGTTTTTCACAATATCCGATACAGGAACAAAAATTATGCTAAGAGATATCTGCTCAAAGACATTAAGGACAATAATTAATAAAGAAAAGGTGGGAAATTGGTCAGATCAAGATAAAAGATGCATGAGAAATGGGCTTAATGAGGAGTTGAATCAGAATATTGTTAACATTTATTTACAATTTGAATGATTAATTTTTATATGAAATTATTTTATATATATAAATGCTTCATTTTTGGAAACTGTCAATTTTGTTAAGCTCTTTTTGCTAAGTTATTTCACATATTTCACATTCTGCGTAAGCGGAATTTTACCATAGCCGGATCTATGAAACATTTCATTGTCGAGTTAATTTTGTGCCAATAATGAAATCTGAAGGGGAAAAGGCTCGAATTTGCGAATAACCAAAATAAAAAAACAGAAAAATAAGATTAAAAGAATTAGCATTAGGACCAGAATTATTGCTCAGATGAGGAAATTTAAAGCAATTAGTTTTATTTGTGATTAGCTAGTGAATGAATGGCATGAATGGAAGGTCGATGATTTTCTATCGAGTTAAGGATGGAAACTTTCAATGTATTTAACTTCTCAGAGCAGATAATTTCTGTTCAAATGTGAATGAATGAATTTTGAGGATTATTACTTCAAAATATTTATGGTTGTGTTATTCTCCTAATGTATTTAAATAAAGTTAAATAACAAAAAACGCAGAAAATTTTAGTTATGGAAAATTTACTAATTCATTTTTTGAATTTTGAAGGATTTTTTTTCCAAGTATATGAATAAATACAGTTGCCGGAATATATATGTCGTAGGAAACAAAGACCAAAAAACAGAAACAAAAAAGAAATTTACTTGCCCAAAGATTAGTATTTCCATTTTTGAACTTCGCAAAAATTTGCTTGCCCCACATTGAAATAATCTTGTTTCCAGATAGATTGTGACAATTGTGCTCTTACTAAATGGAACCAAAATGTGTTATAATATATTGCAGAGATAAATCGGAAGGCAGGAGTATAAAATTTATAGAATTGTAATTGAAAAATTGTAAGATTTATTCCACCATCATTCCTAGCTCTTTCGAGAACTGCTATGTGTCAGTGACTCAGTGTTGTTTAAAATATCACAAACAGAGTCATATATATATTTATAAACTCTGTTCACTTTCATCGAATGTATAAATCAAGAAATACACAGAAGCCGATTAGTCAATTAATAATGAAGTTTAATAAATACGAGTGGAATAGCATTAATAAAAGTTTTCTCCTACTTGTTTACCACATTCCATGCACATTTTAATTTGCATAAATTTAGTTGAATTGTGCAAAATCAAATGACAAATTTATGATCCATAATAAGCTTGCATGGTGAAATTACACTTCATACTTTAAATTAATTACATTAATGAAGCAGTTTTTTGCATCGGAGGTCGAAATCTAATGGTTAACTCAATTTCTGATGCTTCAGCAAACCATCGGGCTTTCAGTAAGTCTTCATTTCTCTCAATTCAGGGAAACTAAAATAATTTAATTCATAACAGAAATAACGATGAACGAGAAGAACATTACTTATTTCACTTACTGTTCTAATCATTCACATGCAATTAAAATACTGACCAAAACCGAAACTAGAAATAAGTCAATCATTTTTTGGATCTAACTATCTCATATAACCAATAGCCAAGAGATCTGCGTCGCTGATTTCTTTGACTTAAGAATGATTCTAAATGACCCCTTCTCTTTTCTAAATTCACAGTATTTCAAAAATTTAATTCATTAATAGTCGAAAATTCACAAACTGCTATCTCATTAAATGATTATTATTTCAGCACATATAATGAATTTAAAAGCAACAAAATTCCTTATCATATTTACATTTCTCATTGGCACATTTTTTGTGTTATTTAATTTCTATTTATTTGCTACTGATTCGAACATAATTTTACAACAATCATTTGCTTCTTTTCGTGAAATTGGTAATGTTTTTATTATAACCTTTGCCTCGCAGATATTTCCATCTTAGTTTTGCATTTTCGAAAAAATTTCAAAAAAAAAAAATCAGCTCATATTAATTAAGATAAGTTTTGAAGAAGCATACAGATTTAAAAATTAATGAAAAAATTCAAGTACTGTTATGTAATTAAAGACAATATATGCTTGCATTAGAAATATTAAACAAACATTACGTCAATTTGATTTGGCTTTGCAGGCATAACTCTTCGAAAAGAAAATGTTACAAAATGTCGTCTCATGGACTTAGATCCTTGGAATCCTGAAATACTACCTTATTTGTACCCAGATTGGGACCCATTAAAAGAATGCAATGTAACTCGTGTTATGCATACAGAATTAAAAAATGGCTCAATTCGAATGCTTGATAACACGTACGTTGAATCATAGTTTTATTATTCTATCGATAACTTCGGCCTTATGAATTAGTCGAGTTTTATGAGTTTCTTTTAGCCGAAACAGAAAATAAAGTAGTATAAAATATACATGAAAACACGCATGCAGGCAGATAGAGATGAATGGAAATCTAAAGATAAATCCAATGTATTTGTCACAATGTATTTATGTCTCAAAAATTTAAGTCTGATTGAATTTAAGTTTAAGTCATCAAAATTTGAGTCATCAAAATTTAAGTCTGCTCATTTACTAAATCACAGCTTAGGACGTCAAAATGTGAGTATCGATGCCTTTATAAAGACGGCGAAACGAATTTTATAAGCGGTAAATGGACAGAAATGGAAAAAAATGTGACATATTATGAAAGTTGTGATTTTGTCGAAACACACTGTACAGACGGAAATACGACCACGTTTCGTTATATTCATGTTCAGGTTCTTTTCAAGTTTAACCGGAAATTCCAGCTTGTTTGATGATGGTAGTTGGTTGGCTAATGCAAACGCTAGTCGGAAACTTTACTAAACGACGATATATTAATTAAATAATATCAAATTGTATCCCAGACAGTAGTTGGTCGTAAAAGTTTGATTCGGATTGACTAGGCTGCCGTAGAAAAATACGGCATGAGGTTGAGTAAGTTGGAAACTCGTCAATTTTAATTTGTAGTTACCAATTTGTCACTCTGCCAATGCTAATTATTGGAAACAACTAAATCGACAATATCACGTGGTAGCTTTCACAAGAATGTGTTAATGAAATGCGATGAGTAATTTTTTCAGGTAATACGACCAACACAGAAAATATTCCAAAAAGAGGATAACTTACATCCTGGGGTATTTATCTTTATCCTCGATTCCACCTCACTCTCTTCGGGAATTCGCACGATGGCCAAGACTAACCAAGTAATTTCTCGAATATATTCCGATTTTTATTTAATGTCAATTGTTCTATAATTTCTGTATTCACTAAGTCCAATTAGTAGTATTAACAATATTCATAAATTCATAAGCCCTACTGATTCTCTAATTGACAGACACACACAATCCCTACTGATTTTTATCGAGTGGATTTTGTAGATCTAGTAGATTTCTAAGTATTTATTACTAATGATAACATATAGAACAATAACAGAAAATTATCTTAATTTTATTTATGAGCTTGGATTAGAGTTGAAAGGTCAATGAGAGTTGAGCAAATTTATGAAGCGATTTGTAGATGTTCATGTAAAAGTTATGATTTTGAGATTCTCCGTCAATTTTACGATGCAACAACATTTTATCATCATAATAAAATTGCGCTTAACAGCCGGCCAAACGCTTACGCCATTTTTTCAGGTTTTTGTTTGTATCACATTTTTTAGACAAATTTGAAACATTCGATTACTAATTTTCACACTATTTATTACTAAACTTAATTTATAATTACTATTAAATGAGGGTTACAGTTTGTATTTTTGAATATATCACATATACATATAAACGCTTGACTAAATTGAATTCCTTTTCTTTATCCTATTTTATTTCAGGAACTCGTACCATTGATTTAGATGCAAATCGTTTTCCCGGCAGAAGCAACTCAGAGCACCCACGGTTCTGTAAGGTAGGTAGACCTATAATTAATTCATCCATTAAGCGACGAAAATTTAAGGAAGTGAACTATATTAGTAATAGCAGGTTGATAGGTAATAATTATACTAAATATTTTTTTGTAATAGATGAAAATGTGAGATATCTAATTCCATCATTACATTTATTTTTTATGATTTATACAGGTTGCAAATTAGTAAATTAGCATAATTTGCAAATCATCTCTGAGACATCTAGTGAAGCACCCTGAGATTAATTTATTCATAATGATAAACTAAAATCAAAAATTTCCGATGGTGTTGAAATGGATGAAACAGTAACGTATAATTTGTAAAGTAGTCAATTAATAGAATTTGTAGTTGGTTATAGCATTCTAACTTTAATTTATTCATAATGATAAACTGAAACCGACAAGTGCATTTCAGCATGGCATCAAAATAAACGAAACGGTAACGTATGATTTTACAAATCAAACCTATGCATCGATAATGGCTGAAGATTGGCCGAGTATGTTCACCTATCCAAATTGCCATGGTTTTCCCAAAGCTCCGACTGATCATTACGGGAGGTAGTTCAGTAAAGATAGTTTTTTTTTTTTGACAATCTGAAAATCGATAAGATTTGTACTCTGTTATTGTTCATTTCTGTTTATTTCATCGCTGGAGCTCCTGATTCTTTTAGATTTTAGTGTCTAAGAAGCATCATTTTTGAGTATAAGCAAAAATAGTTATTAATTCCAATCAGATATGTTCTGTATGATTGAATTGCCTTCCAATAGAGGAAATTATTTGAAGTAAATCAATGAGAATAATTAAGATTTTCTCAAGACAAATGCAAGGTTGTAATTAATTTCTCTGAAGTGCTTTGGTACTTCGGCCGACTAAATCAGGCGAAGAAGTTTGGAAAGATTTCAACACTCATTTCTATAAGGGAGAGTGCCAAGAGTACTATCACAAAATTATGGATTTTGTGGATAAATTCTTAGACGAATACAAAGGATTTTCAAAGTTTGTTTTGGTGTGGCTATCGAGGATAGCACATAATTCCGCCAGCGGATTGTATCGAACTGATAAAGTTGGCCATTTTTTTCACTGTTTTTTTTTTAGAAAAGTTTTTTGAATAAAATTATTATTGGAATTAGATTTTACTAGTAATTGAATGAAGCAAAAAAAGTTGAAAGTTTTTTATTTATTGAAATCTATTTTAATGCTCCATTTTTTCCAGTATTTCTCTAAATTTTTTCGCAAAAATGTCGAGAATTTAAACAATTCTTTCTTATTTGTAATGGGTGATCATGGATTACGGTTTGGGAGATTTCGAAGGACCGGTACTGGATACAACGAAGACAATAATCCATTACTTATGGTGACATTAACGATAATCGATTTAGTGATAATGATAATTGATGCTTTTTATCTCTTCATGTCTTGATTAATATTGATTTTACAGTTATATCTCAAAATTTGTCACCAAAGTACATCTAATCTTTATGCAAAACATCTAATCCTTGTGTTTAGCGAATGCTTTTATCAAATTCATTCTACTTCAGGTAGCAGTTCCACAATATTTGCGTTCGAATGAGCAGCTTATTTTAAATTTAAAAAGCAATTCTCGAAGACACACATCCCAATATGATATTTACGCTACACTCTATGATATAGCACGATATGCAAAGAAAAAAAGTTTCCAGAATTGGGATGAACATGATTTCAGGTTTGTTCCATTTGCTTTTCAAGATATCCTGGCGTTTGATTTTTCTTTGCATATAAGTTTGCTTGTGTTTGTATTCTAAAATTATCAAGTAGTTCCAATGAAATTTAATTGAAAAAATTACCATTGGATTCGGCTTCCAAACAGTTCTCGTAAGCGTTAATTTATTGTTAATTTGCTTTTGTTTTTGAATTTTTGAAATATTTGCCACCATTGCAGCGAAGAACTTGGCAAGGTAAGAGGTGGAATCCGAGCAAGAAGTCTTCTAAGACCCATTCAATATGATAGGTTAGCATATTGTTGTTACAGTCAGTGCTTTCCATTTTCAAAGGATAAGAATAAATAAGTTATTTCTAAGTACTTTTGATGTTCACCTCAGTTTGACAGGACATGTGAAGAAATGGAAATTCCGGATCAATTCTGTATCTGCGAAAAACAGTGGCACACGATCGATATTCACGATGAAAATGTTATGAAAGCTGCTCAGTTCACTGTTAATGCAATTAATAATTTCTTGAAAAAGAAAGGAGCAGGCGAAAAATGCGAAATACTTCATTTAAAAGAAGTAATAATTTCAATTTAAATATTTCCTAAATCATATTAACGCACTGCGTTTGCATTACTTGTTATGACTTAATATTGGCTGACTATATTTTACTGCGTCTTTTAACTTATCGAAGAAATTAACAAATGAAAATAATTTGTAAAAGTAGGAGAAAATCTTAACCTTAATTGAAGCATTCCTTTTCAAGGTGGTTTCGGCAGAATATATCAAGGAACAACCGTTACTGAAAGTAGTAGTTAGTGCCTCACCAAGTGATGGGAGATACGAAACACAATTGTTGAAGAAAGCAGAGAGTTTCGAAATACCTGGAAAAGTTATTCTTTATTCTTCTTTTCTTATTTTTTTTATTTGAACAATTATTGCACAAATTGCTTTACTTTAGTAAAGGTTACATCTGCCACTTTTCAATTTTTACAGTTTTGTTAATTTAGATTGTTCGAGTGAATAGTTACGGTAGCCAAAGTCACTGTGTGGATAATGATGACATTCGCCCACTGTGTTACTGTCGACAACAATTGAAAGGAATGAATGACCACTTTGTGTAAAATTTTAACAGGCTCTGTTGGAATTGTTGTACTGTCTTTCATTAGTATTGAATCATTTCATTTTAATTGTAAAACACATTTGAAAACACCGAGACATAAATTGTAACATACTAAAATACGAAATATACCTGAAAAGGTTCAACCTAAAAAGGCACCCGCTGTCGTGAAAATTGGGATTCAGTGTGAACATAACTTGTGGCTTAGAATCGAATTGGACCATCGTATGCTTAAGAGCCTTCCTTGCTTGCTATTGTAATTGGTATAGACGAATGCGTTGAATGAAAAGACTGTTGTAATGATTTCATTCCCGGTTTGCTAAATTTCTATCTGGTATCGCTAGGTAACAATGTTTGTTGTCTGTATTACTGAAATTTGTCTTTTATGAAAATTAGTATGTCCATGTATGCAAATACAGTTGATGCGTACAAAACGCCCAGTAAATATTTTTCAGATATCTAGGAATGAAAGTTTATATGTAAAAGTGTGTAACATAGTCATGACTACAACATTAAATACTTATTTTTAAGACAGGAAATGAATCCATGTAATACCTTTCGTATTGTAGTTAGTAGAGACGAATGCGTTGAATGATGTCTGTTGTAATGACTTTATTCGTTAGCAACCACAATATATAAATATTAATCTGTAATATATAGTAATAATAGTAACAATACTGATAAGTGTCTACGAATAAGATGAAGAAAATGTATAAATGTATAAATTGATGGGAAAATGAAGTGAATTGTGAGTGAGGGAGAGTAACTGAACTGTAGTTTACTGGTAAAGAAAAACTGAGAAAATTGATGAAGTCAAGGGATTTAAATCTTTATTTTATTTGTTGCATTGACTTGCAACAAGAGCATGATTATTGAGTAAGGGCTATCAGATGACCTTTGCTCTTTATATAGTAAGAAATGGATTTTAATATTGTAGCTTCTCAAAGAATGACTATTAGCTTAGATAACCTTTACAATATTTCGACATTGTAAGCAAATTTGATTTCGAATAAAAGAGTAATTTTTAACATATTAAACAATGCACATAAACTTTATTAACTATTGGAATTTTCCAGACGGGCAAATAAGCTCAGCTACTATAGGAAGATGAATGTTGGAATAACAATTGCTTACATGTTGCAATTTGAATTTTTCGTTAAATTATTTTTTTTTTTGTATCTATAACATTTCTAATGTTAAATTATGACAAGTTTCAGTATTATCGATTAATACAATTTTATTTGACATATTTTGTAAGTTATTCGGAAGTTTGCGAGATTATTTCAAGTTTCGCAACAACATTGGATGTGTAAACAAGGTGATCAAATAGCAACTGGCAAATCTCTACCCAGCAGGCAGGATTTGTTGCTGAATGTTCGTAACAAAAAGTAATTTAAACCATTTTAACTTAAATCATAATTGAGATTAATTTAGCGAAGGATGTTCATACACATATGGTTATGATGACACATGAAGTATTTTCAAGTTAAAATAAGTAGAACTCATTTTACCTCATTTTAAAAACATGTTGAAGATGTATAATCATGTCACTTCTTTAATATTTTATAGCTTTTGTTTGCACCTTTTGAAAAGTTACTGTCATTATTATCGAAACAGGAGAATTATGACCATACTAAATGGAAAGCAATAAGGCAAAATGTCAAATGCGTGCAAAATTTTAACTTTATTAATTATTATAAAAAAAATAATTTTTTAGCTTTATAAATATTGTAAAATAAATGTACCCAGGTTTTAGATTTTGAAGAGAATAGCAAACACCATTCTCTACTTTTCTATTCTCATTATAACATACTCACCTATTTTCATAGACTTTTCATAATAATTTTTCTGTTTGTACCCTGTTTTGATATTCATGAATATTTTCTTTTATCATCGCATAGCGATGGTAAACAAAGTTTTGTCCATCCATAGTCTTTATTGATATCACAGACATTTTTTACCAATTTCAAACTCTTCTGTTACTTCCGAGAGCAGATTTTTGAAAGTGTATATCCATGTTACAGGAGAGTGAAATCCTGGACTTGTCCTCATGTTGACTTTGTTGAGACAAAGCGCATGAGTTGAACTAAATAATAAAAATAACGATATGGTAAATCTATTCATCAAAATTTACGATTAAATTAACACAAGATCCCTATATTTTTGTCGCTTAAGATGAATGATTACAATCACCTTCAATACATAATAAAACTAATGCAACTCATTTCTGCATGAAAAGAAAATCTCCAAATCATTTCACTTTCTCACTATTTCATCATATTACCAGCATCTCAAATAATTTCTCAACCTCGATAAACAATGCCAGGTTAGTAACAGGCCTCAAAAAACCCTAATTATAACCTACTTTTTGCAAACAACAAATTAATTACAAATCATTTGCAAACCAACCGCAAACCGTTTATAAGCCACGTACAAACTATTTACAAGCCATAAACAAACCAATTACAAACGTCTGCAAACTTGCTTCATTTCATGTACTGAACAAAAAGTTTTCTGTGCCAATAAAAAAAAGTAAGATGAGCTTTCTCAAAAAAAGAACCTAGTATGACTGGAAGTGGTTCACCTTGTTTTGATAAAGATATTGCATTTTCTTAATTGCTTCAAAATTACCCACTGCAAGCAGATACCTAAATAACTTTAGACTGAGTTTGGAGGAATATTTTGCTGAATCCACTCAAAACTTCTTTCTGCGAGAAAGACCGGCACTTCAAAAATTCCAAGTGATCAATCTTCTTTTGCACGCGTAACACTCCCAGTTTTGGCTCCGTTTTGAAAAATTATCTTCAAAGCTTTCTGACATATGTACTTACCGTAAGATTAAGTGGTATGTGGCGTCCACTTTATATCCTTAATGGTAAATTGTTTTCAAGAGCAGTACAAGGAAGAAATTGATGTATCAAGGAAACAACTACACGCAGTATTCATCAGAACTTACGGATCATTATATCAATCACATACACAGGTGTTAATTTCATCAATATGTTTAACAAAAAATCATCTGAATTTCAGAATTGACTTTTGGTTTCTCAAAAATCAGCAGAAGAGCAAAAGATTAAAAACCGTACCTACTAAAGTAGACATATCCGTTAATTACTAATGTTCCTGCTATTTATTAATTTGTTTTTTTTTTTTAACAAACGACTCACCTCATATCATTAATCAGCGAGCAACTAGAAAAACTTGCGATGAATTTTTGATTATGCAAATTATTTGTTTTCATCTCAAATACTGATCTTTACAACTGGTGATCACTAATTTTAAAATTTTATTTGTCAAATTCATCAATGAGACGTGTCTAATTTTTTCTCAGAAGCAATATATAATTTTTGTTAAACCTTTATAAACGGGACAACTCAATAATTTTCATCATTTTCGTCCTAAAAATATTCTATAAGTTAATAGGGAAAATTAGAAATAACAAACGAGTAATGAACTTCAACTGACATCACATTGCGTGTAACGTCACCTGAAGTTTTCACTAAGTTTTCACTTACAGTTATGAGCGCACACATTTTACACAGAATATTGCTAAGTAGTACAAAAGGTAATGAGTATATCCATCTGACTACTATCCTAAATGATGAATAGTAAGCACGACCAATGTCACGCAAAATCCGTCTGCTCGCAAAAATGTGTACACATACTGCGGTAGTAGTGGAACAAAGTTTACCCAATGTGAAAACACTCGAATCGATGCAAAAAAAACATTAACTGACCCGCGCTAATTTAGTTTGTTAGTCAAATAAGAGATAGAAGCAATTCGGGATTGATTTGCTAGTTAAATAAGATGGACAGAACAGCGTTTTCATAACTCCACGATAATTGGGTGAAGAGGCGAATTCAATAACAAGTTATGGAACGATAAGGACGACAAACCCTTAAAATTTGCATATTTAAATTTCGAGGTATAGAAAGGAGCGTTATGGTTTAGATAAGTTGCTAAAAGCGAAATGATGTATTTCAAAACTCTTGGGCGACAAGCTAATTTCGATGACTCTTATTTTCTTCCGACGAAAATCTTGAAAATTATGTCTAAACAAAAATTTAAACCCAAACTTTCAGTTTACGAGATGATTGAATACTTATCTGTCGCTAATGACGACAAAGGATTGCTAAAGAAGAGTGAAGAGGTTCAATTCAGAATATTAGACTTCGTCACACTTCAATTCTTTGAACTCATTGGTCATATCGTCGGGAAAGCTCATCTCCGGAAAGCATTACATCGATGGATTTCGGTTAGATTGTATTTTTTTGAGTGTATTTTTTGCCTCCATTGTGAGACTGTAAACGAAATTTGAAGTTTCATTCAGCAACTTCCAATAAACCTTATTTTATCTCAAATTATAAATTTGGATAGCTGGAATTCAAGAATTTTCGTGACTATCTTTGATTTCCATCAAAAAAGCAAAACATGCTATCGTAAGTCACGCATTAGATACGGAATGCGAAGTTAATATATCGGTCAGAATTTTGCATGCTTATTTTAAAGTCATTCATGCCAAAATTCTAAGGTTAACTTTTGACAAAATTTGAAGTCACGCATTAGATGCGGAATGGCAGCAGTCAACAGTCACAATGCATGAGATACATTCCAAGGGCTTCAAATAATTTTTGTGAAGCGAAATGATTAAGTGACAGAGATGATAGCTAAAAGCTGTTACATGGTTATTTCCAAAATCTAATCAATTTTCAGAAGTGAGAAATTGTGATTTCGATCGATCTTAAAATAAATTGTGACTTGAATGACAGTATTTTCCGTATTTTGACTTTCATTGATGTTTCTCTTTTCACTTAGAAGCTTATTATACCATGCTGTATTGCTATTCCTAGCAACTGTTATACGAGCATTATACAATCAACCCTCATAAGTTAGGAATAATAATGAAGTAAATAAAAATAAGCAAACCAAAAACTTCAACCAAGTCATAAATGTAATGACGCTTAAATTGCAGTTGAACAACGTTAAAAAGACAGTCTGAGTTC